TTAAAGTTCCTAGGACCTTGCACAGTAGCATTGCTTGCTAGCACCCTGGGCTTCCTATGCCTTCCCAGGGACATTTCATGTTCAGGTGGTAAACACTGACCCACGTGTTAGCTCCCAGATGCTGTGGGCCAGCTGTAAACCATAGCTCCCCAGAGCTCAGGTCCAGGCCAGTTGAGCTTGGATGGGCTTTTTTTTTTTTTTTTTTTTAGATTGTGTGGCTGGAATAAGGGACACCTGCTCAAAGAGTTTCGACCCCCTGTAATTCCCAGGCTAACTTCATGAGGGTGAAAATTCTGCCCATAGATTCTGATGTGTGTCCAGTGGCTTTTTGATGCCCAAAAGTTACCGTGAATTATGTAAACCTGGAGACCCAGCTCCAAGGAGTAAAAAGTAACGGTGTTGATACATATGGTAACGTTTTAGATTCCTCCTCATTTGGCACTCGTCCCCTTGGTAAACTCTGCCCTATGGTAAAAGTGGAAGGAATTCGGAGAGGAGAGTGGACATGGGCTCCCCTTTGGCTGGGGGTGATGTCATTCACTACTAAGAGCAGCCCAGCTACCAGGCCCTGAGCCTGAGGGTTAGGCAGTTCTTCTGTGGAGAGAAAGGGAGAAAGGATGGATCGTGTCTTAGTTCGGGTTTCTATTGCTGTGATAAAACACCATGACCAAAAGCAACTTGGAAAGCAGAGGTTCTACTTCAGTTAAGAGTTATACATCACAGTCCGTCACTGAAGGAAGTCAGGGCAGGAGATCAAGGCAGGAACCTAGAGGCGGGAAGTGAAGCGGAAGCCATGGTGGAGACCTGCTTACTGACTTGCCCTTCCTGCCTTGCTCATTTTGCCTTATCATATACCTCAGGGCCACCTGTCCAGGGGCAACATTATCCACAGTGGGCTGGGCCATCTCTTGTCAATCATTAATTAAGAAAATGCTTCATGGGCATGCAGACATGGCCCACAGGCCAGTCTGGTAGGAACATTTTCTCAGTTGAGATTCCCTCTTTCCAAGTGTCTTAGTAAGGGTTTTACTGTGTGAATGAATAAACACGATAACCAAGGCAACTCTTATAAAGACAACATTTAATTGGGTCTGGCTTGCAGGTTGAGAGGTTCAGTCCATTGTCATCAAGGCAGGAGCATGGCATCATCCAGGAAGGCGTGGTGCAGAAGGAGCTGAGAGTTCTACATCTTCATCTGAAGGCTGCTAGTTGAATACTGACTTCCAGGCAGCTAGGATAAGGGTCTTAAAGCCTATGCCCACAGTGACACACCTACTCCAATAAGGCCACACCCACTCCAGCAGGGACAAACCTTCCAATAGTGCCACTTCCCAGGCTGAGCATATACAAACCATCACACCAGGTCACCCTAGCTGTGTCAAGATGACATGCAACTAGCCAGCATAGACTCTCCAAATCAGGAGCTTTTTTAGGGTTTTAAGAGGGCAGGGTCATAGGAGGCTTTTCCTCAGTACAGTTTTGAGAGAGAGGAAGAGTCCTCTCCCTTAGTAGCCCCTCTCTTCCTGCCCATGACTCACGCCCCATCAAAAGCACTAAGGAAAACCAGTGTATCGGGTGCCCCTGGGAATGGGGTCTGCCCTGCTCTGCTTATCTCCCCCTTGTTCCTTCCTTCCAATAGACACCAGAACCAGAGGTGAGAGGCCATTGAAGACCCTCCCCAGCCACACCCTTGCCTCTTAGCCAGGTGTGGTGAGCCATCTCTATAGACTAACTCAGATGGGCTGCATTGGGCCAGAGACCCTGTGCTCCCACTGTGCTCTGGGGCCTCGGGGACAGGAACTTCAACTTCCCTCACAGTACTTAGACAGCTCTGTTTCTCCCAGGGATGGTTGAATCGCAGCCATACCATATTAGCTGGGCTTGAATAATGCATGCTTCCCTGCTAATGCCCTCTGCTTGATAATGCGCCCATGTTAGTGTTCATTGGAAATTTTCCCGCTGGATACACACAGAGAGCAATGCACATTTATAAAGGAGATTCCAGAGAGCAGAGGGAGGATGGGGCTCTGTGGTACTGACTGGATTTCATCATGCGTCCCACGTACACAGTCCCTCGTCAGGGGAACACATTCCTTGGTCGGCTTTCTTATTCAGCTAGAAGTGGGGGCACTAGGAGGCTCTCCTGCACACCTGATGCTGTGGACTTCTGTTTGAGGCGGGTTATGTTTCTTCCCATCTTAAGTGAGAGAGTTCATCCCATCTGTACTGGGAGAGGGAGAGGCTGAGGATAGTGGGTAGTCCCCTTGAAATCATTCAAGGGGCCGGTCACAGAAAGCTGAGGTCTCATCTTTGTGTTCTAACCCCATTCTTTTGACCCTCTTTGATTCCAAGTTTTATTTTCTATCAAGCAGAACATACTAGCTACCAGCAAGGAGGTTGGAAGCTTACAGACCCAGTGACTGCTTCCTGGGATCCTAGATACTCTTTTAGATACCGAGAATACAGCAGCCAACCAGAGGGCTCTCCGTGGTCGAGCTTACACGACGGCAGCATGAGATGATGAATGAGCCAGGTGTGGTGGTGCATACCTTTAACCCCAGCACTGGGGATGCAGAAGGCAGATCTCTGTGAATTTTGAGGCCAGGCTGGTCTTCATAATCAGTTCCAGGCCAGCTAGAGCTACATAGTAAGCGCCTGCCTCAAAATAAATTTAGTTAGTTAAACAATTAAAGAAAAAACTAAAACTGATACAGTATGGTAGAACACTTGGGAGATGATCTCAGGAGGGGCAGGAGAGTCGGGACAGGAGGGGACCATTTGAGTGGAAGGCTGGGAGAAGGTTCATTGAGAAAAAGGGGGTTACCCAACTGTTTCTAGGAAAGGGGGAGCAAATCACAGGCATGCGATGAAAAGCATTCTAGAGAAACTAGCAGTCAAGGCAGTCAGTATGCTCGGTATACTGCAGAAGCCTCAGGAAGGCCTGCGTAGCAGGAGAAGACTGGTGGGGGTCAAGGAGAAAGCTAAGGAGGCCACGGGGAGAGCCGGTGGGTCCTTGTGAGCCATTCACAGACTCCAGCTTGTGCTTTTGGAGAGCACATTGCCATCAACGAGCCCTAAGCAGAAATGACCTAGCTTGCACCTGACTAGGATTCCTCTGATCCTTGTGCTTAGGGCAGGGTACTCAGAGACAAAGAAATCAGGAGGTCATGGTCATCAGGGAAGAGGTGCCAGCCACTTGGGTGACAGATATGGAGACCATCAGAAGTGGTTCATGGGGTCTACATTGGGGCGGATTTACTGAGGGATTGTGTATGGTTTGACAGTGGGGAGCCAAGGAGGCCAGAGAAGAACTGGTAAAGCACCCAGCGCCTGGTAAGTAGCAAGTGCCTGGGCACAGCTGTTACCACTCCTGGGCATCAGTCAGCAGGGCTGAGTCAGCTGCTGGAGGGCAACTAACACGACACACGGAGATCTAAGATTGTACGGGTGGATCAAGGTTTACAACCAGAGATGAAATGAGTTCTTGGTTGCTAGGAGCATGCTGTGGGGACCAGGGGAAGCCAGACCAAAGAAGACAGATGGGGAAAAGGACAGACCATTGTATTCTGGAGCTCCACCTTCTGTATGCCACTCAGCAAAGATGGGAGGAGCCGTCAAACAGGCTATTATTTTATCCACTAGGCAGCCACCAAGTTCCATATCTCAGTGGTCTCCAAGACTCAGCTTCCCCTGTCCCCAAGTCAGCTGGTTTGAGCTAGGTCTGGCTGAGCCTATAGGCTCAACTCTACAAGCAGATCTTCCCATGATAATGAAGATGCAACAGACAAGCCTAATCAGGCAGGTGCTTTTCAAGACTTGGCATTCAAGGCCTCCAAATTTCCAGTGTCCAAACCCAAGGAAGGTTAAGGAGTGGGAGAGAAACATACCTCACCCCTGCAATGGCTAGAAAAATCATCCACAGGACAAAGATATAAATAGCCCAGTGGTAGATTGCTTGTCTGGTATGTCTGAGTATTGGGTTTGATTCCAAATACCACACAATATTCATATCAAAAACAGTATGGCATGGGAAATAGCGACAAATGGAGCTTGATCCAGTTTACCACTCCCTGTCAGGGCGGGCTCAGAAATTGTGTGGGGGAAGAATCTATAGATTTGCAGGCACACAGAGGACGAACCATGTGTTCCTTGGCTTTCCATTGCTATAACAAACACCCAAGGCGAATCCAATTGAAAAGAAGAAAGGTTTGTTTAGGGTTGTGATTTCAAGAGGTATCAGTCTGTAGGTTGAGCCCACGGCAGCAAAATCCATGATGGAGGGAGATGCTGCTTGCTTCATGGCAGCAGGGCAAGTCTGGAGTCCAAAGAACCGTTTTTAAGGACACATGTTCAATGACATTCCCATAAGTCTCACTTCTAGCACATACCAGTAGTGTCACAGGCTGGCAGATGAACTCTTAATACATAGTTTGGGGGAGAGCATTCCAGATCCAAACTCAGCAAGCTGCAGATGCTCACGAAAGATTCCCCAAGGAGAAGACAGAAATTATTTCATACCCAGAAACCTCAGCGGTAGTGGAACGTCATTCCCATGAGAGGCCTGGGCAAATCCCGAGCCTTTCAGACACCAAAAGGCTTGGGGGCCCCTTTCCTGCCTCCCTCAGAAGTCTGTTCCTTCTTGGCAGAGACCCTGCTACCCCTTGCTGTGTTACTTACTATACAGGAAGCCTCCCTCCATGGATGTCCCAAGCCAAGAGACAGGACACATCTGACTTGCAAGTGTGTCCAACCTGTGACTTATGGCAGCCTACTATAGCCATAAATACAGCCCCAAACATACTTAAAATGAGGTCTATTTATCTATGTTCAGCAGTGTTTTTGTTGTTGCTGCTGGATCCGTGGTTCTCAAGCTTGAACTTGGTAGAGGTGAGACTGTTATTTCACAACTGTCAAAAGAGTGGGCACACCCCATTCTGCAGGAACCCCGTGCTGGTCACAGACTACCCCTCCAACCAGCTTTCCTTCTCTGTCCTCTCTAGTCAAGAAGCAGATTGAGCTGAAGTCTCGTGGTGTTAAACTGATGCCCAGCAAGGACAATAACCAGAAGACGTCTGTGTGTAAGTGTCGGCTGGCCCACCCACAGGCGCCAGTGCATAGAGCTTATGCTTGGGTCCGAACCTCTGGCTCTGTGACTAGCTGTGACCCCAGGGAAGTCGGCCTCTGTTAGATGACTTCTCTGGTCCCTCCCTCCCTCCCTCCATCTGTGCGTGGACTCACTGAACCTGCAGCTATTAAGCAGTCTCAGCTGCTCTCTGCCTTCTCCCGCCATCATCTCCTTCCTCCCCCCTCCTCACTCCCCATTCGGTCTGCAGTCCAGGGAGTCATTTCTGCACATTTCTTTCTTTCTTTTTCCTTTTGAACCACTTTCACCTGCTAAGACAGTCCTCTTTCTGGAGCCTCTTCAGGCTGGGATCTGGAGGTGCGCATTGGGGGTGTGGCTCCCAAGGTCAGATCGTGCAGAGGAGGAAGAGACATGTCTAACAAACCTTCCAAGGGTGCTGGACCTGGCTGGGCAGAGTGAAGTGGGGACTTGCTTCATGACTCTTAGGGGTGGTGGGAAAATCCTGGCTGTGACCTGCTTGGGCAAATTGCACCTTTGGGGACTTGTTCCTGTTACCCTTGTTTGGAAGACAAAATGAGATCTGGTGCTGGGGAATGGTCTAGAATATCACATCCAGAGAGACACCTGCTGAGCCTGTGTTGAAGGGAATTAGAGTGTAAGCCTTGGGGGTGGGATGCAGACAAGCCATTGCCCGTCTGGAGCCCAATACAGGGAGGCTATTCTGGTGGCCAGGAGACTGAGTTTCCTTCCTGCCACTCTGTCTAGCTACCCTCTCTCTCCCTCATCTTCCTCTTCCTTCCCAGACCTGTCCTCCCTCTTCTCCTGTCCTGTCTCACCTCCCTGTGCTTTTTATTTTCTCCAATCGACAGAAGTATACTTGTTAAAGAAAGATGGAGGAAAGCCCCCAAGTTCCAAAGGTCTGTGCTGGTGTCTGTGGCCAGGAGGCTGGGGGCAGAGGCCACTGGGGGGGCCTGAGTAGAATGAACCAGAGTCTGGGGGGCTTTCCCTAGTCTCACGCTCTCACAAGTCAGAAGGTACTAGTGGCTGTTAAGTTCATCTGTAGGCCAGATTCTATGGTGGTCCCTACCCCAGGAGGTTTGATGGCAGAAGAAGCTAGGGGACTCTTGTGCTTGGTTAAGGATATCAGGAGATGGGACACTAGGAGAACTCTGGTCTAGCCCCGGGCCCTGCAGAGAATGGTCCGCCTTTCCCTGAGCCCAAGTGCTCTTGACATAGCCATGGAGACAAAATAAACAAAAGCAACTGTGGCTTTGCTTTACACTTTACCACAGAGCCATAAATAAGCTTAAAGAAATGCCCAGCATTGTGTGTGGGCGGGAGGGACTCACATGTTTATCCCATGCTACCCTAGAAATTAATGACTTTGTTTTAATGTCTATAAAATGGGGATACAGAACCTTCCTACCAGGGATGCTATGGATCTAAGACAGGCCTTCTGCAGGGCCTTCCTGACTGCGGGAGGTTGCTGAAAAATACATGTGGAGTGGGGGGGGGTGCATTTATCTGAAAGACTCCACGGTTTTCGTCACTTATACCTTCCCCGGGCACCCCAACAGCCCCAAAGAAATTACTAAGGAAGTAATATAAAGAATCTTTAAACATATATATGTATATGTGGTATTTCTTTAACAAGGTTTTAATCTCCATTGTAAGACTTCCTAAAAAAGGTGTGAGTCTGATCCAAGTTCCGGTGAGACAGCGGCTGACACCTGCATGGATTCATCATTTACATTCTGTTTAAACCTTCTGTGGACAGCTGTCTTGAACTCTGGGAAGGGGTGGGTCCTACTGATTTCCTCCAGCAGACAGCCTATGGGAACCAGTCTCCCCCACCCCCCCACCCCCGGCCGTGGCTCCTGGCACTGTACCTATCGGCATCTCCTTTGTTTTGGGTAGAAGGCATTGTCACAGATTTTCCTCATTGTGGGGCCATGCCAGGTTGGATCAAGATTACCCTTCATTATTCACTCCCTAGTAGCTAACAGCAAGTCAGTACTGTATCTGGTCCAGACTGAGAGTGCAGGTAGGAAGGTTTGAAGACAGCAGGAAATGCCTTTTGCTTCTGCAATTCATGTAGTGATCTGATCCCTGGACCTAAGTTTGCTCATTTCTTGGAGAGCAGGGTAGGTCTTCAAAGGACTACTATCATTGCCCAGGGAAAGGTTGCTGGCTGAATGTGAGCTTTCTCAGTGGGTTGGTAACTTCCTGAACGGTACTTCAGGGGCTGGCTGATGGCTGGGAGGCAGGGCGGTGGATGGGCTTTGTCATGCTTAGCTTTGGTTACTGTCTGGATACTGAATGAGAGGGCAAAGGAAGTGATGGGAACTGCTGAGTCTTCTCAAGGTGCTGCTAAGAGGTAGGTGTTTCCATTGGCAGGGACCTTGGGATGGGCGTGGTCTGTGCATAAGTTGAATGGGCAGGACCTGAGGACAATGGGCATTTAGCTTAGAATCTGCTGCAGTTATGGTCCATAGGCTGGATGACAAAGCCATCAGGGACAGTTCTTGGGATTAGGGACCATCTTCCCCTCCTGGTTACCACCTATACTCCCCAAGTACCTACCCCTCCCCCCATTGTCTTTACTGGAGCCCCAGTTACCCTATCCTTTCCTGTCCTTGCAAAACACCATGGCTCCCTGAAAACTCACTCTACTGCAGAGACTTCAGTCTTGCTGCCCCAGCCTGCAGGTTTCGGGGTTGGTGGGAATCATGGTTCTGTCGATGATGTATAGGCTTGATAACCGAGGGAACAGGATAAAGACTGATGCGATGGTGTGCCTCAACCCAGCAGTGTGGAGCCACCCAGGATACCTTGCTGGCATTACCAATAGTTTAGGCCGTGTCTGGCCTGAGCCTGGAGCCTGTCTAAGGGGCCAGATTCCCTTGTCAGCCATTCCCTGGGCTACTCGGAGATGTAAGCAGAGGCTGTTCTAGGCCTGTCCTTGTAGCAATGAGCTGAAACCTCAGCATTGGCTTACCTTGCATCAGCTACCAATATCCTCACAGACCCAGGCTCAGGAGTCCCCTTTCTCTCTCTCTCTCTCTCTCTCTCTCTCTCTCTCTCTCTCTCTCTCTCTTCCTGCCGTATCCTTCCACATCCACTAATGACCCTCTTTTCCTCATCCATTCCACATGTCTCACGTCTCACCAGACTCTTGTTGTCCTTGACCTGAATGAACACAGAGCGTCCTTCAATAAGGACCCTTCTGCCATCAAGGACTCTTTGTTTTGTTTGGGGCCTTGTGTTTGTTTTTTATTTGTTTGTTTTCTTGACATATAGCCCTGGCTGACCTGGAACTTACTGTGTAGCACAGGCTGGCCTCGAGCTCCTAGAGATCCACCTTACTCTTCTGCTCAAGTGCTGGAATTAAAGACAGGTGCCGCACACTCAGCTACACAGAACTCTCCAGCAGCCTCCCCCCATTCCTGTGTATTTGAGATAAGTCTCATACCCCTCAAAAGTCATACATCTGAGGCCTCACGTTCTGCCTCCTCATCTCCCCCTCCCTATACTCTAGCTGCACCTGATGCCCCCCAGATCTGTCTGTCTCTGCCTCATTCTTCTGTGCTTGTCTTCTGCTTTGCCACTGTCCTCATGTGTCTAAATCTCACCCCTTTATAAGACGCAAGTTAAGTGCCACCTTCTCTGGGAAAACATTCACACTTCTCCCAGTAATACCTGATTGGTCCCCAATCTGAGCATCCTTCGTTATCCCCACCACTTCCGGTTCTGAAGTCCCTTCAATGCTTCATGGCTTCCCTCAGTGGGAAACTTCTTGAAGACACTGATCATTTCCTTGTACAAAACAAAAACAAAAACAAGAACAAAACCAGGGCTTGAAGACTGTGTGCCCGCTGTGGAGAATGAGTGAGTTGTGTGTAAGGTGGGTGCTAGAGTACCTCTCTCACACTGTGGAGTGCTGAGTGGAAGACAAGGGAACATGAGCAAGCTCAGAGACTGTCACTATAGACACCCCTGTAATCCCTCAGGATTGCCGTTGGAGTCATGGGGTGGGTGGGTCCTTGAATAAATGTCTCTGGGCAAGGTGGCTTAAGTTCTTAGTCATCCTTCACTCTGGGAATGCAGAGGTGTGACTTTAGACCAGCCTGACCAATGTGAACCATCAAAACCAGTGAACACGCAGGGGTCTAGGGGTTGCCTGCTGTCTGCACTGTGTACCCGCCGCCCCAGACTGAGCTCTGCTCTAACTCGGGCAGCCATGCATAAGGTTTTGTTTTGTTTTTTAAAGGTGTAAGAAAGTCATCCAACCTGCTAGAAATACTACAGATAACATCTGGCTGGTGCTCTTGGCTGGTGTAACATGGGAGGGGTCGGGGAGTATACTCCAGTACTTGCTTACTGTGGTCTAATGGGAGCCTGATGGGAAGAGGGCTCTCAGAAGACATGTCCATATCTGAGCACAAGCCCCTGCTTTGAACTTGAAGCTGCAACTCTCTCTCTTTCTCTCATTCTTTACTGTTTCTGATCATACGTTCACATTTTATTTAACTTCCTTTGGTCATCTCTCCATCTGGGGCTGAGGTGGCGGGGCGGGGCTGAGGTGGTGGGGCGGGCCAGAGTCATTTCATCTAGCGTCTCCATCCCTGGATCTGAAGTGCAGGATGGGGAGGTGACCAGAGCCTTTGGACAGTCCACTTCTGGCCACTGGTGTGGGATGAGGGAACAGGATGGAACAGGATGGTTGTTGAGCAAGAGAGGCTGTCTCAGAGCCCATATGACCCCAAAGAATTTCACTTGGGTTTTTCTTGCAAAGGAATTTATTGAAAGTAGTCTCCTACCTTGCACAGTCAGGAAAGTCCTGTCCATTAGAGCCCCAACATCCTCCACAACTCCGGGGAAGCAGGGCCTCATCCTGTCTCCTCCTCCCACCCTGAGACACTGCCCAGCCCGGTGCCTTCCTGAGACTATCTCTCTATGTGTGTGCTGTTTTTTTGCCTTGTAGTAACTCAGGTTGGTGTGTCCCAAGGACATAATATGTGTCCAGACCCTGGCATACCTGAAAAGGGAAAAAGACTAGGCTCAGACTTCAGGTAAGAAACTACTGGGGGACTTTCTAGCTGCAAATGGTGTGGGGTGGTGTGGGGTGGGGTGGGGTGGCCTGGGTCAGGGTAAGGGGAACAAGGCCTGGCTTTCCTGGAGGTGGGGTGGGGAAGGTGAGATGGATGCAGAGTAACATTTACTAGGAATAGACTGTTGTCTCTCCTAGTCTGATCCTTGGGGGAATATCTCTGTCTTATAGGGTATAACCAGGTATAACTAAAACATGCCTATGTTAAATGGCCACAAAATGTGTGTAGCCAGCCAGAGTTTAAAGGGCCGTCACTCTGACATGGTATGTGAATGATGACAGGCCTATTGTCATCTGGTGTACCTCAGAGCCCCTCAGGTAGTAAATTTTTGCAGTTTTGTACTACCAAGGAATCTTCCTATATCCGTCCATTTTCACCCTGGTTTATGGGTACCATCCGCCCACCGTGAGCCCTAATTGATGCTTATCTCCCAGCAGTGCTCTCGGCTCACAAAGTCGCCTTTTAACTCAATCCTAAAACCATCAAATGTTCCCAAACAACTAAGATGAAGGGCAGCTGCAGCCTTCAACAGATTTTAAGTGGTGAAGAGAAGACACCAGATGAAAGGCCAGAAAGAATGTTCCCCAGGAGACATGTGTCAGAAGCCAGGGTGTACTCCACAAGGCAGGGCTTAGCGGGCCCAGAGAATGAACTCATAACACACCTTGTCTCCCAGGTTAGGATCCAGCGTCCAGTTCACCTGCAACGAAGGCTATGACCTGCAAGGGTCCAAGAGGATCACCTGCATGAAAGTGAGCGACATGTTTGCAGCCTGGAGTGACCACAGGCCAGTCTGCAGAGGTGAGGGCCCCTGGGGGAGGGAGTTCCCTCAGACATCCAGGCTGGGCATGGAGACCTAGACCATCCACCAGGCTGACTCAGCTTGCTCTCTACTGCTCCCTAAACCTCAGGTCTCACATCTTTGACTAATCACCCTGTTTATCTGGCATCTTCTCTGTATCAAGGCCTTTGCTAGGAGCTGGCATAGAGGAGTGGGGAGACAGACATAACCTCTGCCCTGCGTGGACTTCATAGTCCGAGAGGAGAGGCATAGGAAGCAGGTTGCTGACACATTGCACAGAGATCAGAACCACACAAAAATAGGAAAGCAAGCCACCCTTCACATTCTTGTCTTAGATGACAGACACACATCCCAGCCTTCTACCCTCAGTGCTGCCACTGCTTTGCCCACACTCTGCAGTAAAGAGACCTGTGGTTTCTGAAGCAATGCTTTTAACTGTATAGAGATGACAAGAGATCAAGGCATCAAAAGCCTGCTCAGTGAGCTTCTCTGACAGCAAACCTGGCTATCCTGTCCTCAAGGGCCCTACTGTCCACATTCCCACCTAGCATATAAACCAAAGAGAACTACCTACCAACAGCCATAAATTATCCACATGTTGGAAGTGGGTGAATGACCATCAGAGGGGCAGTACGACACTCGGCTCTTAGATAGCCCCAGGTGCCTGAGGACCCCTCTAGGTGAGAAGATATATATTACCCACTAAAATGGTTCTATCCTGGATCCTTATGACCAAAGGTGATGCTTTACTTCGTAAGCACCTTTTCATCAAGATGAAACTCACTCAGAGCAGGAGTGGGCTGTGGAAGAGAACTAAACCATGATTATCTGGAAGAATGTGTGGTCAGAGCTAATCCGTGTTGATGAGGAATCTGGAAGGAATATCTGATGAGGAATCATGAAAATATCTTCCAGTTGGGCCTTCCACTCTTTCCTATTGTTCAGCTTTAAGTTGGCCAAGATGTACTGCATATACTGGGCTTTGTGCCTTTCTGCCATGTCATTCCAAACACCTACATAGTGATACATATTATGCCAAGAATAATTAGTTTGGGTTAATTGTATGATCGCGGTGGCTGGCACGAAATTTGCCAACCCTAAGAGGTATAGTTTAGTCAAACTTTTGTTTATTGCTTAATATTTATCATATATATATATATATATATACATATATATATATATATATCCAGATATGTATGTTGTGGGCCCCACCTGAGCTGTCTCTAGTGAACCTGATACTGGACTAACCTCTCTGCAAACTTTCACTAAGCACTGGACTGCTTTCACCTGTTACCCCACTGGACCCCGTGTTATTGTGAAAGCGGGTGGCAGGGGGTGGCCCTTCTAATCCAGCCATTGCTACTCTGTAGTTGTGCGTCCTTGGGTCGTAAGCTTCACCTCTCTGGATCCCTTTTCCTCCCTGCTGAATTGAAGACTCACTACCCAACTGCCCCACAGCATCTCCAGGTGCACACAATGAACTTGATGTCACTCATTTAGAAGTGGGCAGGGATACCCGCGGGCTCACGTGCACAGCTGTGTAACTTACCCTGCTGCACAGCTGGCCTTTAGCTGGAGCTGCAGAGTACACCTCATCCTATAGTGGCTGTCAGTCCTCCCAGAAGCCACTCTCCTGTGCACTGCAGTCCCTCAGCTGGCTGATCCGGGCTGGGGCTCTTCATTAGCCTTCGCCACAGGACCCTTGTAAGTGAAAGAGAAAACCAAACCTTCCCTGATTTTGACTGAGATGGAAGCAAGGTACATTACTGAAGGGAGTGGGGTCTCAGCAAAGCCTGACCCTCCTGCCTTCCTCTCCTCATGATTCCTCTGGCGAAGGCTGTGGAGAGGGAGACAGTGGAAGCCCAAGGCTTAGATTCAGAAGATAGTTCTCCGGCTTTCCTGAAGGTCGTGAGCAGACCTCCATCTTAGATGCAGAATCTATTCTGACGGTCTTTGAGACTCCCCCAACCACAGCCACCAGATCTTTTGTTTTAAACTAATTGGAATTTCTACAGCAATTGTGGTTTCTCTCTCTCTCTCTCTCTCTCTCTCTCTCTCTCTCTCTCTCTCTCTCTGACAAAGAAAGGGACAAAAATCCTTCAATCACACAAAGTTCCACTTTAAAGCAGGTTACCCAAAATGGCACTGTAAAGTACTCAGCCCACCATACATGGGTTATTGTTTTCCCGACGCATGTAAAATATGATGTGGCTTTAATTATTCACTTTTCCACACAATTAATTATACTAAAACACACAGACAGGCAAATAATAGCTTCTTGATAAATGTTTGAGGGCCACCAGAATGAGTCGGATTTGTGATTGATGTGAACAAGGACTATGGAACTGTGCCCTCATTTTGGAAGTTTTGAAATTGGTGATGTATTCCAGCCTCCTCTTCCCCTCCCAGCAGAAGAAGTTAGCCTCTGCTTTGACTCCTGGAAAATCTTTGCTGTTTTAAGTTTTGAGACAAGACCTCAAGTAGCCCAGGCTAGCCTCAGCCTTGCTCAGCATCCAAGGGTGACACTGAATCTTGGAAACCACCCCTTCCATTCTCCAAGTGCATAATCGCAGGCACACAGAACTGCACCTGTTTCCTATAAAAGCTTGATCGTGCAGAGCTTGCTTTCAAAAAGGCAGAACATGGGTTGTGTTTTTACTTTTATGTTTATGTCACCAAATACCTGACAGGGTGAAAACCCCTGACAGGAAGTGAACAGAAAACAAGACTCTGTGTGTGTGTGTGTGTGTGTGTGTGTGTGTGTGTGTGTGTGTGTCTGTCTGTCTGTCTGTCTGTCTTCTGTCTGTCTCTTTATGTGTGTACATAAAAAGACAGGGTAGTGGTGCCTGTCTGTCTGTCTGTACATGTGCATTTAGAATACAATCATCTAGGCAGGACAGAATACCATATGTAGGACTCAAAGTTCAAGTCCCAACTTTGTTATTAACAATCTAGATGGCACAGGAAACGTTGATAAAATGGATCTGCATCTTTTCCCTTGCCTGTAAAATGGGAAGGGACATGGGAGCTGTCCATAAAGTAGGCTAAATGAAATGGCATGATTATTAATGATTATTACAGATGTCTTTCTGCCTTGGTGGCCACGACAAGATCAGATTCCTGGGCTGAATCCTTACACATTGTTGTTCAAGTGTTCCCTCCTCTCCCTCCATCCCTTCCTTACTGTCTCCTCCATCCTCACTTTTCCCCTCCATTACCCTGTCTTCTTTCCTCTTCTGGTACAGATGTTCTACTGAGTTACTAGAACCCATGCCCTATTGTCCCAGCCCCTTACCTGTATGTGCCAATGAGAAATCTCCCACTATTGTCCCAGCCCCTTACCTGTGTGTACCAACAATAAAGCTCTCACTTATTAAGACATTCATACTTGTCTAAAGCATAGCACGCACTGGGCATTTTTCATCTTTTTTTTATGAGGCAAGTAGCAATAACCATATTTCATGTTGAGCTGAAACTTCTAGTAGTTGACCAACTTGCTCAAAGGCACAAAGCCAATCAGTTGAGCTGTTTCAACCCCTCGCTCTAAATGCTCTTGGCTACTTATTCTTGAGAATTGCACCTGGACCTCCTTCAGAGTCAGACTATGGGGGAACTGTGTGGAGCAGCTCTCCCTTCTTGATAGCTTTGTTTTGACTGAATTTCTAATGTTAGAAAATTTGTAGTTTACATACTGAGAACTCTCCTCTGAGAATACTCACCTGCTTTGAAAGAGTTAAGGAAGAAGGAGAAAAACCAAAGCCTGTGTGTTGGAGATGGGCCATTGGGGTCAGATACTCCAGAAAGGTCAAGCAGAAGCTACCAGTGGGATTAAATGGCTTGCCTCAATGTTGAGGTTGTTCTTCAGGAAATTGGGAGGAAGCCAAAGGAGGACCGGGGACAGAAGGCCAACTTGTTTTGATGTCAAAGCTTGAATCTATGGTGTGACCACAGTTGTCCCAGTGGCCACCAGGCTCAGAAGTTAGGAAGAGAAAGCAGATAGGAGATTTGAACAAAGGCAGTCTTTTGATCAGGTATGGTATGAAGGTGTGGAGGGAACTGGAAATACTGGTGAGTTGTCTTGAGGTCCAGTCTAGGTAGCAGAAGAAGAGGAGGAGAAGGAGGAGGAGGAGGAGGAGGAGGAGGAGGAGGAGGAGGAGGAGGAGGAGGAGGAGGAAGAAGAAGAGGAGGAGGAAGAAGAGGAGGAGGAGGAGGAGAGGGAAGATGAAGAGGGTCTAAGATGGGAAGTCTGGAAGACAGTGGATGAGAAAGGCCTAGGCTGTAGGATATCAGGGGCATTGTGAGCAAAGTGACCCTACTGAAAGTATTAGTGAGAGGAGACAGGTTGCTATGATAGCTGGACTTCCTGGTTCCAAGGACATAAGGCTTCTGTGTATGGCCACAGATGCGGCTGCTCCTGGAATGGAGAGGGTAGTGATCCAGATCCTGTAGAAGGAACCAGCACTTCAAAGAAGGGGCCATCTCTAGGCTAGAGCAGAAGGATAATCATCAGCCGGAAGGGTTACACCTTGGGGAGTCAGGAAGAGGGTGTGTCTGCAGAATAGCTTCCTGCTTTCTCCAAATTCAGGAAGGTGTCAAAATCATCAGGCAGGAGAACAGAGTGGGATGAAGGGCGGGACTAGAGGCCAGAGGACCCTTGGAAGGCATGAGAGGATCTTTAGGAGGCAGAAGTTGGTGAACTGACAGAGTTCAGTGGCAAGGCTGTTGGGAGATTCCTGGAAAGAGTTTGAGGTGGCTAACGAACATAAAGAGACACCAGCTTTGCTTCTCCTGTGATTTTTTTTTCCATCAAAGCTCAACTATGTGAAGGCAGATATGGAAAATCTCTGGGGGCCGGTCATCAGTCCACAATTGATTTCTCCCATGCAACTGATTAAAGGGGACAGAAGGGAGACTTGGGATTTGCAAGAAATTGACCATGATAGTAGACCATGAGGTCTAGGCTGGGTTAGGATGGAAGAGAAAACAAGAAGATGGAAGAGGCCTGGCGAATAGAGAGAACATCGGTAGTCACCGTGGGTCCAATATAATCCCAGGGATGGTTAGACTCATTTGCAGAAAGAAATGACAATAGAAGGAACAGGATGTTAACCACAGAGGACGTCAGAAGCAAGGGTTGGAGAGAAGAAAGACTTCGGTTAGGCAGGACGAAATTGCAGCTACAGCAGGGATCCATGGGCCTAGTAGAGTAGTGGGAGGCCAGGTGTGACAGAACACGCCTGCATGTCTAACACTGGGGGAGGGAGAGGCACTAAGTCAAGAGACCAAAAGTTACAGGGTAGCCTAGGCTACATAACAAAACCCTGTCTGAAGAAAAGTAATTAACTTGTGTGAGATGGGAATTGTGTTTGGGCTAGAGGGAGGTCAATCCCAGGAGAAGCAAGAGAAGGCAGCCTGGATCAAGGTGGAAATCAAATGAGAGAAGCTGGGTCACAGGGGTCAGATTTGCACTGCACCCCTCTTGCGCTTGGAGTGGCTCACTGCTCTGGGGTCAAACAATTTCAAGGCTAGAATCGGCTGTGGTTCCAGGTTGTGTCTCTCTACAGTTCTCAAGGGTCCTGTTCCTCATGACACAGCACCATGATGCCCTGAGGAAGGGTAGGAAGCCCGGAAGATGGGGAGAAGTCCCTGTAGAAGAGGCTAGATGGGAAATTGCAAATAGGGAAATGGGAAGATACATCCCTTCACTGATTCAGAGGCTGTCTGAGAAGCTGCCATTTGGATAGCCCATCTGGGTCACAGTGAGGAGCTGTTCATCTGCGGGTGGGATCCCTGGAGTTGGCTGCTCAGGGGGCAGAAGTCTGTCTGCACCATCCCCTGTCTGACCTTGCGCAGGCAGCAGACAGAAAAAAAGCAGCTCAGACTCCATCTGGAACCTGTCTTAAGGTACTCGGTGCTAAGTATCTGCAAATTGTAATATTTTTAATTAAACCCCTCCAAGTTCTTAAAGTGGTAAATGCTTTTTGACCTATTCTCTCTAATTACCTTCGGCATATTTTAACACACTGAAAATACCATCTAATTCTTGGAAACAAGCTCAGGATAAATCGAGTCTTTTGGCAGCAAAACCAAACTTCCCAGAAGAGGTGGGAGATGCTGCTGGGCGGGGTGGGGGTGGGGGGCTGCGCGAGGATTCTCTGCAGGGCTGGAGTACTGAATTTTCAGATCTTCTTTGTACAGGTGGGATGGGAATCGTGTCAGAGGGAAAACCTATGTAAAGGAACTTCAAGGGCTTCCCAGGAGGTGGCTCAGTCAGTAAAGAGTTTGCCACACAAGCGTGAGGACCTGAGTTCAATAACCCAGTACCAATGGGGAGGTAGGGGAGAAGCTGTATGTAGCAGCCAGTACCTGTAATGTCAGCGGTAAGGAGGCAGAGTGTGGGAGAGCTGGGACTTGGTGAGCAGCCGATGTAGCAGAATTGGCAAGCTGTAGACGCAGTGAGAGATTCCATCTCAAAAATACTAAGGTGGCAAGTGAATGAGGAAGACACCCACGTGCTCCTGTATATAAATGTCGATACACACCCACATAGAAACTTCGAGAAAGCTGGACTAGGACTCCTGAACCCAGGAGAAAGTCTTGAATGTAGAGAAAGGGACTGAGTCTGGCAGTTCTGGGACCCCTTTGTTGAATACAGAGAATGTCCTGTCTGTCACTCTCACCAGGACTCACTGAGGTAGTGTCACCTGTTCCATTGGGAAAAGAAAGAGGTGTGTGTGGAAGGGTTGCTCACTCCCCCAGACCTGAAGAGCCAACAGATAGATTTAGAGTGCTAAGCCTCTAAGACTGGCCTGTCCTCAACTATGCCATCCTCCCCAAGTGTCACCTGTGAGTCAACATGGCTTTCAATACAGTGAAAGGAGCAATTGGGTACACATGAGAGCAGGGGGCTGGGGTATCCAAACTCAATTCAGGGGCTGAGGATGTGGCTCAGTGGGTAAGGTGTTTGCTGCACAAACATGAGGACCTGAGTTTGAATCCCCTGTACATATAAAAGCTGGGTGTGACAGTGCACTCCAGTAACCCAGTGTTAGGGGGCTTCTGGGGGCTTGTTGGCCACCCAGACTAGCCAAATCACTGAAGTCTGGGTTGAGTAGAGAGATCTAGTCTCAAAAAGAAAAGTAAGCTGGAAAGCCATGAAGAAATACACCTAATGTTGATGTCTGGTCTACACACATGCATGCAAGCACACGTGCATGCACGCACACACACACACACACTAAACTCAATTCAATCAATATTGTGGTGAATTGTGGGGGATAATCCCTATAAGTACAGAGTAAGATGAACCATCAAAACCATCTGTGATGACCCAGAGCCCCTCAAAACAGCCCTGTAATTACAGGCACTGTGGTCACCTGTGAGGGCTCCCAGGTTCCCATCTATGCCACCAGCTTCCTTGAGAGAAGCAGCACCCTGCTGACGTATTTCTCGGCCCACATTCTGGCCAGCCCATAATAGCCGCTTAATAAATGTTGGACTGAATGAGTGTGAGAAACTGCAGGCCACGACAAGCGATTCATTACACCTGGGAGCCGTGGAGCCTTCTTCTCAGACTCCCAGGAGGGGCTCCCTGGGAAAGGTTTGTCATGCCCGGCTCCACACAAAGAGCAGCTCCAGGAAGTTTGAGGTCATCAACAGAAAGCACGTCTGACAGCGCGCCCATTTCACATGCTTAGGCCTGTTGAGTTTGCACGCTCGGTCTTCACTGTTAGGCACTCTGCCTGCAATTGGGATGAATTGTTGTATGAGCAGTGACAGAGCAGGCTCGGAGAGCCCTTTATTAAAATAGCTGTGTGCTAACGTTGAAGAATGAGGTGGCTAGGACTCCGTGCACATGGTTCTTAAAAGGAAGCAAACACCTAGACCCAACGTGGAACCTTAAATGAGATCAATCACCCCTTAATCTAATTAGTTTCGAAGCTATTTTAAAGAGCTTAATTAGATTAAGCTGTGATTGATAACACTTTATATCTACTTGAGGAAAGCACTTCTTCTAATTCACCTTGAGTCTTTATGCTTCCAGTCAAAAGCCGGCTCCAAGGCATGGGCTGAGTCAGGGATGGATGAGGGAAGCAACAGGCTGGTTCTGAAGCTGCTCTGGTGCCTGGAGCTGGGTTGAGCTGGGCATTTAGGCAGAGTCCTTGGGCACAGGCATGCTTTCTGATAGTTAGGGTAGCCTTCACCAGGGCATCCTGAGACTCTAGTTCAGAAAGCCGGCAAGGTGGTAGTGTAAAGGGCTGAAGTCAGGCTACTAGATAAGAAGTCTGGGGGTTCCTTGCAGCACGCGACTGGTTTGGAGACATAGGCTGCAGACAGGAATGGAGCAGGGTGCTTAGTGTGTCCCTAGGTGCCTGTGACCCACCCAGCCCTGGTCTGCTCACTCTTTAAGGTGAGCTGCCTTATCTCAGTGGAGTTGGGGAGGAAGGGTAGACTTAAGGAGAGTGTTGAGCCTGTCTTGGCTCCAGGCACTGTGACTTCCCTCTGAGCCTGCTGGGAAAGGTGGGCATATATGCAGGAAGTAGGTGGTTTCTGGGAAAAGACTGTCCAGGTGGCATCTCTTCTGGGCTGTGTGTGGGAGACAGGAAGGACTGAACTTGCTGTAAACTGAAGTGTCTGTCTCATCTCCTCTCCGCAGCCCGTATGTGTGATGCCCACCTCCGAGGTCCCTCGGGCATCATCACGTCCCCCAACTTCCCCATTCAGTATGACAACAACGCACACTGTGTGTGGATCATCACAGCACTCAACCCTGCCAAGGTAAGGCTCCCACAGTCGGGGCTGTCAGGGTCCTGTGGACAGGTGCAGGTTAGGGACCGCAAACCCACGAGCCTCCTGGTGATAGCTTCTCTGCAGAGAGCTTCCATTCTCTTTCATTAGGTTTTGAAGAAATAAAAAGACATAAGAAAGAAGTAACATTAATCCATGGAATGCTGAGTAGCCGTGTCTGAGCACACGAAAAAGGAAAGATCAGGAAATAATGAGCTACCTTGGTGGTGTGCTACCCAAGCCAATCCCCCACACTCCTAGCCACGGCCTGAAGTGTTTCTGTTGTTTATTGTGCTTGCTTATACTTAATTGAATGTCCCTAGAGTAGAATGCTTCAGGTCTGAACATTCGAACTGCATATAAGTATAATCTTGTGGGGTTTTGTTGTTGGGTTTTTTGTTTGTTTGTTTGTTTGTTTGTTTTTTGGTTTTTAGTGTTCATGAGCATTCTGTGTGCATATCTGTGGTGTACATGGCAGAAGAGGACATCAGATCCCGTTGTAGATGGTCATGAGCTACCATGTGGTTGCTGGGAAATGAACTCAGGACCTCTGGAAGCATCTGGAACTACTCTTAACCACTGAGCCATCTCTCCAACCTCTTGTAACCTTGTGTTTAATGAACGTCCCGCATCATTTATCTAGGCTGTGTACAGCTCTACTCTGTTACCCACCACCTTTCATGTGTTCATTCCCATCACTGGGGGTGAGGAGGTTGCTGTTGTTGCTGTTGTTGTTTTGAGTTTTTGTTTTTTCAATTTCAGGGGTTTTTGTTTGTTTGCTTATTTTGTTATCTTTTTAAAACTGTGACAGTCTTGCCAGGATCCACAGCAACCTGTCTGAATCACTTGAATTCTCTCTGATTTGTTGATGCCAAGTCCTTTGGTCCATGAACATGGTATGTCTTTCTGCTTGCTTAAGATCTCTTTTGTGGCTCTCAGTGAACTTGTCTCCATTACAGCTCTTACTCATTTCTTGATTCATTTGTTCAAAAATACTCTCTATATCTTCTTCTATGTAAATATAGCAGTATGATTTGTATGTCATGGCTTTCAAACCCCACCGTCTACCTGTTTCCTGGTGCTCAATGGAAAATGCAATCAATTTTTGTACCTGGTTTTTTATACAGAGCAAATATCTTGAGATTGTTTTTCTGTGGTTTTCTTGGCGTTTTCTGCAGACTGTTGACATCTGCAAAGACTGATGGCTTTATCTCTTCCTTTCCAATCCATTTACCGTTTCTGATGGTGGTGCACTGATGCTGAGTGGAATTTGTTTCTTCACTATTCTGTGTGATGTCTCCTGGAGCATGAGTATTTTCAATCTAGAGAGTTTCCTTTGGGGCCTGGGGGAATGTCTTTCATATCCTAGTTTACCAAGACTTTTTATTGAGAATGGGCATTGAATTTTATCAAAAACTTTCCCACACCTGTGATACCATCTTTATTCTGCTCCTTGATTCCCACCCTGGAGTGATTAGTGTATGCTGCCCCTCCCAATGTCACTAGTCGAAGCCGTAAGTCCTTTACCTGTCACCTAGTGTGGACACTTACCATACTCCTCTAGATTTAACTTGCTAACATCTCATTCAACAGTATGTTCCTATTTTGTTAGGTCTCTCCTTTTTCTTTATCCTTGCCAGAATTTTGTATCAAGAAAGGGCTGGCTTCATAAAACAATTTGGGAAATATTTCCCACTGTCTCCAGGGATCGTCAGTGGAAAATTGCAATAACTTTTGCTTTAAAGTTCAGTGGATCTTTTCAGCCAAAGTGTCTGGATCTGGTGCTGGGAGATTAAACTCCAGACTCAATATCTCTAATGACTAAAGGGTAATCTAGGTCATTTGTTTTGTCTTGAGTTCATTTAACTGAATGTTCAGAAGTATTGTATAGGCAGTTATGCTTCCATCTCTTACTGCAGCTACAGTATCTGCTAATGTTTGCTTTTGTGTCCCCTTTCCTTTCTTATTTATACCTTAAAAAAAAAAACAGTATTGCCAAAAGCTGCATATCTGCTAGTTTCTTCAAAGAACTGAGTTTGGTTTTGTCAAGACTCCTTTAAAAATATTTTCTGTTTCACCAATTTCGGCTCTTTTTTGTTTCTTTCCTTCTGTGTGTTTATTTTTATTTTTCTGTCTAGCATTTTATTTTGTCTGCTTAGTCCACTATTTACAATCTTATTTCAGCATCTAAGGCTACAAATTTCCCTCTGATGACTATTTTGACCATATCTCTATGAATTTTATAAGCAATATGTGTAGCATAGTTATGAAATTTAGTTCTGATAGTTATTTGGTTCAAATTTGTATCTTTTAAGATCTATTTGTTTTTATTTTACATGTATGAATGCTTTGTCTGTGTATGTGTGTTTGTGTATGTATGTATGTATGTATGTATGTATGTATATATACACCACATGTGTGCCCAACATCTAAGGAAGTCAGGAGTGGATACTGGATCTCTTAAAACTGGAATCACCATGTGGGTGCTGGGAAGCAAACCCAGGTCCTCTGATAAAACAGCAAGAGCTCATAACCACTGAACCATCTCTCACCCTTTTTATTTTTTTTCTGACTTTTGTGCTAAGGATTGAATCAGGGGCCTCACACCTGCTAGACAAGTGATCTTCCACTGGTCTGCTCCTCACCCACCTCTGAGGAAGGGTATTAAAATCTCCCACTATGACAGCAGGTTTGCCTGTTTTTATTTGAGGTTCTGTCAGTTTGTGTGTCCTGTATTTTGGGAGTGTCTAATTACAAACACAGATTGAACGTTACATGCTTTCCTGGTAAATCAACTATTTCAAAAGAAGTATGTAATGACTATCTGTGATAAATTTTTTCCTTGAAGCTTCTGTCTCCCTCCCTCACCCTCAGCAATTACATCGTTTCTTTTGGTGTCCAACTTGTCTATTCTATCCTATTACTTTTAGCTTTTACTTGGGTATGCTGGGTTTGTTTGTTTTGTGCATAAAAACCACAGACTTATAATCTTTTAGAGAAACCAATGTAATCATATTTAATCATTCAATTCTATTAGAACTAATCTAAAATACTCCAGAAATATGAATGTGTATATTTAGTAAGCCTCATGCTCTCTAATTTTATGTCTTTTCCTTCCTGAGAGGTCAGGGATCACAAAACACCGCACCTTGAATGACCTCACTGTTCTCCACTGCGTATGTTTCTGTCACCTTGTTGTCTCCCACACTCTGCAATGTTACTGTTCAATGAGCCAGCGCTGGCTCTGGCTTCTGGTTTGGACTTGCTTGCTTATTCAGCATCTCTTTATTCCCAGTCGCTTCCATCACAACCTTACCCTGCAGAATTACCTTCTCCCCTCCCCAGCTCCGTGCTTTAGGTCACGGTCCTGTCACTGGCCAACTTTCTTAGCTCTCTTTTGTCTTGGGATGTCTCTTGACCAGTCTGCTGTCTTCTGCTGCCCCTGTCGATTGTCACCACTTCTTTGCGTGGTGTTCTCTGAGTCTGCTTCATGACCTTCTGCTTGGCCTCACTACCCTGTGTCCAGATGTGGGCATCTCACACATCTTCCTGTGTGAGCTCACCAAGCTTCTTGGAACAGTGGCTTGTGCCTTTCCTCCAAGCCTGGAAGTGTTTAGCCATTGTCTTTCTTATTGTTGCTTGTTGCTTGGCCTTTATTGCCTCTCTTCTTCTTCTTCTTCTTCTTCTTCTTCTTCTTCTTCTTCTTCTTCTTCTTCTTCTTCTTCTTTTTTGTAATGAGTTTGTCGCTCTGTCTCTGTTTCTTTGAATCATATTTTTTTCTCCTTTCTCCTGGTCACGTATTCTTTTCCTAGCTATAAATATCGCCCACTGTAGACCTGTTGTAAATAGCTTCCACTTGTGATACCATCATCTGTCCTTTGTAACAAGCTCTTAATCATATTTCTTCTTCCTCACATGCATGGAGCCTTTGTCAGTTTGTAAGGAAGCCTTTTTTGCATTCTGTGTCTGTTAATATGAAGTATCTACATTTGATTCTGAATGGGGACTCAGATTTTACCTCCCATGACTCCCTGAACTATGTTATATCTGTGCTGTGTAATTTTTTTTTTTTTACTTTATGACTAGAATAATAAACTTTGGGGATTATTTGAGGCCAGGATAGAACTTTTTTGTTTCCTTAGAAAGTTTGTATAAGCCTCCATAGCCTGTTCCTGGTACTAGGATTACCTCTGGCTATAACTGCCTTCAAATTTAAGTTTTCATCCTAGAGGTTTCAAACTGCATAAGGAACAAGAAGGTCTCAGAGTCATATTATGGGCCTTCATCTTCATGGATGATCAAGGAGAAGTCTTGCTTTCTGCCCTTTCCGTGTTAAGATCTGGGCTCTACAGCTTCCTGATCCACTCACAGGGCAGATGGCCCTAAATGAGAGCAGACAGACTGGTTTTTAGTTCATCCCCATGCTAATTTGTGCAAGAGTGTCCCCACCTTGGGGAAACACCTGTCCTCTGGCATCTGTTCCTTTGCCTCCAAAAGTTCCTAAAAGCACAGTTGCACTTCCCCTTGGCCTTCCTCAGGACTAAGGCCAGCTGTGTTCTCCAGGTCATTGTCAGGGTCCCCATACTTGCTATGCATCAGCCCCTGACTCTTTCTACTCATGCTAGTGTGTTTTAGACTTCCCCAACAAAATGGCCCCACTCTGGCAGGGGCTTAGACAGCAGACATTTATTTCCTTACAATTCTGCAAGGCAGAGGGTATGATCAGGCTGCTAGCAGATTTGGTTTCTGCAGAGAACTCAATCTGGCTTCTAGGCTCCTACTGAACTTGTCCCCTCTTGACTTCACCTCTGTGCACAAAGAGAAGCTCTCCAAAACTGCGACCTCCTGCTCCCCATGCTCCTCCTGCTCCTCCTCTCCCTCCCTACTTCTCCCTTTCCTCCTCCTCCTATAAGGACACCATATCTCTCTAGTTAGGACTCCCTTTTAGAATACGGCCGTCTCTTAATCAAGTCCTAAGGGGGCTTCTACAT